AATTTATAAAATAATAATAATTTATCAATATTTAAAATATTCTTTATACAATTTTTTTTCATTATAGGTTTATAAGTTTACGACTTATACATAAATGTACATTAACATACATGGTTACACATGAATTGTCTTTTTAACAGAGAATGATTTAATTTTGTTCCTAAATTTCTTTTAAAATTAAAATTTAATAATATTCAATAAATTTTATTTTAAAAATAAATTTTATTTTAAAAATAAATTTAATTTTTAAAAAATTAATTTACTAGTCTAATTAACATTAATAATTTAAATATACTTTTAAATAGGTTAATAGGCTAAGTCGGACTTTAAAAAGGTCAGACAAAACTTATAAAAAAAGTTTATGATAAGTAATATGTTAGGTTTAAACCCTAAACTCATCCTATATATTCAAAGTCAGACTGACCTGACCTATTCTCATCCTCAGGTAGAAGTGAATCTAAACACCTGAGGAGGTTAAAAGAAAAAGAAATAACTTTCAATTCCAGAGCACTTATTTTTAAATTATCTATCTAAAATTTATTAAAAAATTAATTTATAAAGTTAAAGTCTTACAAATAAACCTTATACATCTTTCTCTCAAAGTTAAATTAGTCATTTATTCAGAGAAACCTCCTAAATGCTTTAAACTCACAAGAAGTTATAAATTCTCAAAGTTTATCAACAACAAATAAGCATAACTCATTCATTGGTAAAAATTAACAACAATTAACGAATATGTACAATGTTACAACCACAAGTATTATCCATTGAAGATGGTTTAATTAAAAAAATATTAATATAATATAAGAAAGTTTGTGCATAAAGATAGATAAAAAAATGACAACAATTATAATACTAACATGATTGAGAAATAATCTTACTCTATAAATGTAAAGTCAAAATTTTAAGTTTTAACCTAGTCTATATTATCTATGTTAATATATAATGAGAATATCCTGTTTAGGAATCACCTTGCTATTCATATTTGGTGGGTCATTTTACTCTTTTATTATTAAAAAAATTAATATTTTTATTAAACCCATACTTAAACTCAAAATCTTGAAATTCAATAATGAACTATAAAATGGTTAAACTAACATATTTTCATTACTTATTTTTAATTTTTATTTCACTTTTAATAAAGATATAAAGTGTTTTAACTTCACTAATTTATTAAAAAATAATATATCAAGATAGATAAGTCTTTTAAATAAATATTAAACAAGTCCTATCATTAATTCTCCCATGAGAGAATTATAACAATATTATTAACAAAAACTAAAATATCAAATTACACAAGTTATCTTTCCATCTCGACTAATTCTCAATATTTGAGTTTAGAATTAAATCAAACATTTATTTTTCTGTAAATTCATTAAAATTAAATAAATAAATAATTACCAAAATTTAAAAATGTTAAAAATAATAAAAAACTAAAAGTGATTAAATTAGTAAATTAACTTATCATTTTATCCCAAAAAACTGGTGACATTCATCATATGTTCGGTATAGTGAGTTTCTCAACTTTTATAATAAAAAGGTAAAGACTAGAGAGACATTTCATACTTTCCTATAATATTAAAATAAGCATAAAATAAAAAAGAGAAGGTGAAAGTTAAATAAAATATAAATATATTTTTAATCTCTTTTAAAAAATTTAAGTTTCACTCTTTTTTTCTTCTTCTCCTGTTTTAGTGTCTCTAATTTTTAAAGGTACATTACTCTTGATTTCCAAATTAATTTAAATATCAATTTAGAACGGTTTCTAAACACTATCTAAATTACTTTGAAGATAAAAATGATGTGTTTTCAAATTAAAAGACTGAAATAGCATAATACTTTTCAGAGAATAAATTCAAATTAATGAAAAAATGCACTCCAGAGGTAAAAACTTAGATCATGATATAAAATGGTGAAACAGTAATTACGTACAACTCAAGAGATCACAGAATCTAAAGTAAAATAGAGACTAGAGTGTTTTGCTGATTAATTATATATTGTTAAAGATTATAAATTATTTTAAAATTACAATGACTACTTCTAAAAACACATGTAGGAAAACTTTAACTGTAAAGTAAAGTACTTGAACTAATGTTTTTTGTCAAATTATTGTTAGTCATTTTCCAACATGTGTTTTTGTTAAAATTTCCATTTTATCTAGAAGATTATGGTAAAACTTGAGACGCATGCCAAGTTAAATTGATTAGTATGAAACTATTAGTTTTGACAATTTTCACCATAAATATATACATACTTATATTTTTCCGAAGCCTTCAAAAATGAGTTAGAGTTCAAGAAGCACGAAGTAATTAAAAGAGTGTTAGAGGTTCTCTTCCGAATTAATTTTATAACTCTAAGAAAGATTAAAGTTGTGGATTTTGTTGTCTTGGAATTATTTGCTGAATTATTTGCTGTAAAGTAACAATTATTTGCTGAATTAAAATCAAAGAATTAATATGTTGTCTTCAAATTTTTGTTGAAATAATATTTTTTATTTTTTTTAGGAGAAATATAAGGAGCGTCTAATTGAAGTCAAGCAACAAGCTACACAGGATGACATAGAGGGCTCTACTTCTACTTGTATTAGTGATAATGAAGTTTATTTGCAGGTGGTTAAAAAGAATACGAAGGGAAACTTGTATGGGCTTGCTGGATTGACCGATGATTTCATTCGCTCAACACTTCCACAATCTTCTATGTCACAGTCATCACCAGTCACTGCAGGGGTGATAGAAGAAATGCAAAATAGGATAACTAAATTAAATGCTGAGCTTGCTGCAAAGGAAGCAAAGGAAAAAACATTGGAAGAACATATACGAAAACATGATGAGCAGATGCAGTATATACTACGCAATCTCAACATTGACCCTTTAAGGCCAACCCCTCCTCCACCGAGTACTACCCCAGATGATCCTGACCATGGTGTTGATGATGCTCTTGATGAGATAGCAGAAGACCCGTAATTAAGCTTCTTTATTTTACTTGTTTCAGGATATTTTATTGTATTTTCACTATTACTTTGTTGAAGTTTAAACGTTTTATGTTATTATTGTGTTTTTAGCATACCATATTGACATACTTATATTTTATTTAGTTTTCACTATAATATAAATTTACATCGATGAGATTATGTCTTTTAGTATGTTCTAGTTTATTATTATAAATTATGTAATAAATATATTGTTAATTTGATATTCGTTAACAGGTATAAATTTATAATTTAAAAAGAATTTAAAAATACTGGTTAGCATTAGCGATTGAAATAGCTACCAAGATGAACTGTGGCTATTTCAAGTGTTTAGCGACCGAAATAGCGACAAAAAAAAAATTTGTAGCTAATTCAAGGTTTTAGCGACCGAAATAGTGACTGAAATAATTCGTAGCTATTTCAAGATTTAGCGACCGAAATAGCGACCAAAAGAATGCGTAGCTAATTCAAGGTTTTAGCGACCGAAATAATCCGTAGCTATTTCACGATTTAGCGACCGAAATAGCGACCAAATTTAGTCGTAGCTATTTCAGGTTTTAGCGACTGATTTAGCGACCGATTTTAAAAATCTTTTTTTAAATAAATAAAAAAATTTAG